GGTTGCAACATATATATTGTTTCTTTAATGTCACCATTTAGAAATGCAATCTTAGCATCCATCTGATGTAGCTCAAAATTAAAATGAGCTACTAGTGCCAATATTATTCTAAAAGAATCCTTCGAAGATACTAGAGAGGAGGTTTCTTTATAATCAATGTATTCTTTCTGATTGTAGCCTTTAGCAACTATACGCGTTTTATATCTGTCAATATTACCTTTTGAATCTCTCTTGGTTTTAAATATCTATTTGCAACTAATAAGTTTCGCACCTTCAAACAAGATCCCAAACGACATTATCATGCATAGACTTTATCTCATTCTTCATGGCATCAATCCACTTTTGAGAGTTAAAACCTTTCATGGCTTGACAGAGGTTCAATGAATCATCCTCTGTTAACTCGATGTCATCCTCTGTTAACTCGATGTCATCCTCTCTCTAGTGGATCTCCTTAATGACACTTCTACTTCTTGAGGTTGTTGAATTTGCTCTGAATGTACTTCAGCGAGAACCTCATTGTTGTCTTGCTCTGGAATATTGTGAGGGACAATATTTTGAACATTTTGTTCTACTACCGAAGTTGTTCCTTGAATGGTAATAGGTATAAGAACTTGTTCACCATTAGTGACAAATTCTTCCTCAAAGACAACATTCATTATATTTTCTTCCTTCCCAAAATCAACTTCCTCAATAAATCTCACATTTCCCGTCTCAAAGAAAAGTCTTGTTGTAGGATCATAAAATTTATAGCCCCATGAACTTTCAGTATAGCCAACAAAGTAATAGCTAACTGTTCTTGAGTCCAATTTCCTTTCATGTGGCCTATAAGGCCACACCTCAGCTGGACAACCCCAAATGTGCAAGTGTTTTAAGCTTGGTATTTTACAAGTTCAAAGCTCATATGGAGTTTTATTAACTGCTTTAGTTGGCATCCTATTAAGGATGTTAACTGTGATCTTTAAAGTTTCCCCTAAACAGACTCTGGTAAGGAAGAATAATTAATCATACTTCTCACCATATCCTTAAGAGTTCAGTTTAGTCCCTCAGCAACACCATCCATAATAGGTTTGTCTGACTAGTGTATTGCAGAACAATTTCATTTTCTCTTAGGAAAAAATGCAAATAGCTCTTTCACAACATCCTTATTGTTCTTTCTTTTCTTATTCTGAGATGTCGTAACCAAATGAGCACTTTCAGTCTTATCTCTCTGCAGAATCTTTCCCTCTTGAGTGTTATAGCTCACTTTGAATTTTCCAAAGTGTGTAGGAAGCGAGATCAAAATCAAGTGCACGAGCAAGTCTTCACCAAGCTCTAACTTTAGTGACTTGAGTTTCAATGCAAGATTAGACATCTCCATAATGTACTCCCTTATTTTCCCTTTGCTTCATACCTTATGGAGATGAGTTTAGCCAAAAGGTACTTGTCTCCGCCTTTTCATTTTTGGCAAAGTACTGTTCTATTTCTTTAAGGAATTTCCTTGCATTTTGACTCTCAAAAATAGAGCCCCAAAACACTTCTGGAATAGAGCGTTTCATGATCATTAGACACATTCAATTAGAGTGTTCTCATTTCTAAATTTTAATCTCATCGAGGTTTTCTGGAGTAGAAATAGGTTTCTCCAAACGAAGTGTCAGATCTAAATCCATACAGCCGAGAATAATCTCTATGGCTTCCTTCCAGACCATAAAATTCCGTTCAGTAATGGAATGTTATTAATTTAAGCAGAAATATTTGCAGCATTGGTAAAAGACACTGAATCAAGTAGAACAAACAACAAAATAAATTGTAATCATTCTTGCAATAAACTCACATCAAGTTTAACCCTTAAAATCTAATGGGACACATCACGAGTTACCTAGTACAACATTAATATTCAGTCTTTGGACAAAAAATATTAACTTGTAAGTGATACATTCAATGTGGTAATCAAATATTGATAATCAGTCATGTAAAACAATAAATCTTTCTTTGGACCGACTTACTATTCACATGGGAAACTATATGATTATCACATATTTATTACTACAAATATGTTTATAATTTTGGACAAATAGTAGTCTTCCTTTGGACATATCACTATTCGCATAAAAATACAAACATACAATTAGCTTGATATTCCATATTCATTGATAATGAAATTCTTGTTGTAATGGTTAAACATTGATCCTAATGCATGTCAAATAATAAATCATTCTTTGGACTGATGTATTATTCACATTTGCAACCTTATAATTATCACATGTTTACCATCATATGTGTCTATATAATTCGGCCAAATAATAATCTTCCTTTGGGCCGATTAATAGTCGCATGAATATATATACGCACTAGCATTTGACATTTATTATGAACAATTTACACAAAAGATGTCACTTTGGAGACGCCTTATTTCTATAGGTTTACTTAAAATCAAACACTTTTATAACCCAAAAAAACAGTCATGTAATATATAAAATAAGACATTCACATAATAGACCCATCACAAGATACCTAGTACAACATCAATTTCTAGTCTTTGGACAGAGAAAATCAATTTGCAAGTGGTACTCTCAATGCAATGATCAAATATTAACAATTAGTTCTGTCAAACAATAGTCTTTCTTTGGACCGACTATTATTCATATAAAAAAACTTTATAATTGTTACACATTTATGATCACATGTATGTTATTATTTGACCAAATTGTGTCTTCCTTTGGGCCGAACACAATTCGCATAAATAATCGCATATTCATCTGTGTAATTTCAATCAATTTCCACAACATAGGTTACTTTGGCAACATATTGCATCAACTGATTCCAAATAATTATCAGACAAAACAAAACAATATGGGTCCATTATAAAAAAAATACAATCTTGGAATTAAAACTTTCAGATTTGATATCTTTTATGATTAAAAAAATCTAATAACATAATATAATTTCAAATCAAATAGGCTCATGCATATCTTAAACATATATAGTATATATTTGATCAAATCACAATTATATATATAACATATATGCACATATTCAGATTGCATAATATATCAATGTATAATATATATATATCAACTTTAATCAGTAATTCCAGACATCACAACAACCTCAAACTAGAAACAATTATATATGTATATATGTACCTTTCAATTCGCAATATGTATACAAGGCCATGAATTTCATATTGTATATGTATAAAAGAAAAAACATGTCTTAACCCATATATACCTTAAAAATATACTTTAACAAATTGCAGAAATTGTGAAGTGACAAAAGTCAATGTCCAACAGTAAGGCCTTAGTGCACATATAATATACATATTGCATAACACAATCATAAAAGTTAATGAAATGTCCATGCACATATATGAATATATACTTCAACACATGTTACAAGGATTTATAATACAAATTACTCATGATTCAAATAAGTGGAAGCATATAAGAGTTATCCTCATTATTCATAAATACCCAATTTTCATAACCATAGCGGAAGCATGAAATCTCTCAAATTTAAAATTAGGGTTCATAAAAATTGAGGAAAAAATACATTTAATGGATAATCATAAAATTCAGAACCTAGAGCTCTGATACCACTTGTTAGAATTCTCTATTAATTGGTGAAATGTCAATCCTATAATCTTGAATCTCACACATTATGTAAAACAATGATACAAAGTCATATCTGAATCCATGTTGTTATATATGTTCCTATGTGTATGCCTTCGTAGAGAGGTTTTGGTATGGTGATCTTCCTCAACCAAATCTTTGATTCCTCTTGGGACCTTCGTTTTCTCTCTGATGGGGTGATTTGGTGTATTGGGACCATAACATTCCTGATGTGTTAACTTAATAGGTTTACATTATTCCCTATGAGTTAACTACTCTGCTATCCACTCATTAAGCTCATATCCATTATCACTTGATATTAGAAGTCAAAAGGGTTGTCAGTAATAAGATCACTTATTTTATAACCCCGAAAATAAATAGCTGATATAATTGTATAAATATATGATGTCCACCTTAATTAGAAATTATGAATTTCTAACACATATTTTGCTTTGGACCTTGCTTCTTTAGTTTATGTGGTTTAGTTGGTTAGTTGCTTCATTCACAAACAATTACTATCTCTCGTATAAATACAAATCAATGAGGTTCATTTGGAATAAGATTTTAGAGGTATTATTACTCATTCAACTTTGCAATAACTTCATTAAAACGAAAAACTATAAAAACATAATTTAACTATCATTTTTATATTACATGTTGGAATCTGATTAGATAGAAAGGACAACATCGGGAGAGAAATTGTTGATACCAATAGTTTGTGTGATAACCTCAATGCCCTCTTTGGGAACAATGTTCATATTCTTATTATTATCTGCGATCTCTCACTTACATTAATGGATTCAAACAAACTATGGTTCATGCAAACTCACTCATCACATATGGACACTCTAATCATTCTACATTTTACAAACAAAACAAGAAAATCCTCACCTTTTTAATATATTTTAATATCTATGCAACATGAATGATGAATTTATTCATAATATAAAAATTGTTATAATATCAGTACAGATGTATGTCACTCACAATGTATTAACTATTATTTACACTTAAATAAAAATAATACAAATGAATAGTAAATGATGTATTAGGTGTCTATAAATCTCAATGTATAGATATTAGACTCTATTTATTTACTCTCTTTTTTTATTGGATGATATACAATTGGTCAAATTTGCATGGGATATACTTAAGTACCATGCCATATTGTAATATGCTACTCTTATCCCACTTTAATATACCATTTTAATTAGAGAATAAAGTATGGAGTAAATTACACTGACACCCTCTGAGTTTTAGTGAAATTATACAAATCACTCACCTTTTTAAAACCTACACAAATCACCCCTAATTATATATACACATTACAATTACTACACCTGTAAGAAAGATAAGTGTAATTTCTTAAACAAAAATTGACGACAAGTGTAATTAATTCAAATAAAATATATTACATTGTGTAATTTTACTCAAACTCATGTGATATCGGTGTGGTTGATCATCCTCTCGGACCAGCTACTGATCATCGCCTTGGTAAGCTATTGCCCCACCAACTAGCTAATCAGACGCGAGCCCTCCTCGGGCGGATTCCTCCTTTTGCTCCTCAGCCTACGGGGTATTAGCAGTCATTTCCAGTTGTTGTTCCCCTCCCAAGGGCAGGTTCTTACGTGTTACTCACCCGTCCGCCACTGGAAACACCACATCCCGTCCGACTTGCATGTGTAAGGCATGCCCGCCAGCGTTCATCCTGAGCCAAGATCGAACTCTCCATGAGATTCCTAGTTACATTACATATACCTTCCTTGTTCGTAGACAAAGCTGATTCGGAATTCTCTTTCATTCCAAGGCAGAACTTGTATCCATGCGCTTCATATTCGCCTGGAGTTCGCTCCCAGAAATATACCCCCCCCCCCCCCCCCCCCCCCCGCTCCCGTCAATCCCACTAGCCTCTTATCACTCTCCATTCTCATTCGATCACGGCATCAAACAAAATAGAAAAACTCACAGGGGTAATCAGGCTCGAACTGATGACTTACACCGTGTCAAGGTGACACTCTACCGCTGAGTTATACCCCTTCCTTCTCTTGCCCCCATCGAGAAATATAACTGACTAATCCTAAGGCAAAGGGTCGAGAAACTCAACGCCACTATTCTTGAACAACTTGGAGTCGGGCCTTCTTTTCTTTTCACACTATTACGGATACGAAAATAATGAGAAAAATTGGATTCAATTGTCAACCGCTCCTATCGGAAATAGGATTGACTGCGGATTCGAGCAATAGCACATGATTTCAGAAAACCGTACGATTTTCCCGATCTAAATAAAGCGGGTTTTCCATGAAGAAGATTTGGATCAGCATGTTCTATTCGATACCAGTAGGAGAAGAACCCGACTCAGTATTTTTACAAAAATAGAGAAATCAGAACCAAGTCAAGATGATACAGCTCTTCTTTACAACTTAATTGTTGCTGAGGGATTTCTAAAGTTCTTTCACTACCTCGTGTTTGAAGTTGTTGCTCCTCTTCCTCATCATCATCATCCTCATTATCCTCGTTACCATAAATATTGACTTGTTGTACTTGTGAGGCATTGTATGACGTTAAAAATCTTGTGTCACATATGCCGACATTAACGTGTTTGGAGTTGTAGCAAACATAGATGGTAATGAACATTGATATTGAGAACTTTGACTCATATGGTAGTGTGTTGTATATGTTGTGAATGTTCCATATGGTTGTTCTCCGTATAGATGATGTGATAACATTTGTAGTTGTGATGGTTGAAAGTGTGTTTGACTTGAACTTTGATGTTGAAGTTTAGAGTCATACGTAGGCATAACGAAATGTTAAGAAAGAGGAGCTCGAGGTTGAGAAATACTGAAGGTCATTAGATTTAACTTTACTAATGCCTTCACCTATCTCAAAAGGTGTTTCATTCTATATCCCAAACCAATAACATATTGACATATAAATAAAATAAAATTTTAAAAACAAGAAATAGTAGAGATGGACCAAGGTAGCTTTTACTGCAGGTTGCACATGTGTTGGCGTGAATATGTTCTCACTGTTTCCTTGTCAGCTTTTGCTTTTGTGACTTCCTTTTACATTATCAAAATCTCTCTCTCTTTTACATCTTGGTTCCATGGCCTCAATTGCCCCCACACTAGCTTAATTATATATCTTCAACATTCTTGGTCACTACTAAATCTTGTATTATCTTCTACTGTCTACAAAGGTGGCCATGCATCAACCTATCTAGTGTGTATATATATATATATATATATATATATATATATATTTATTGAAATGTGATACTTTTACATAGAATAGGATATATAAGATGATGAGTATAATATTTTATAAGTGGTAAGATTCATTCAATCATTATGTTCAGATTTTGGTTAATGATAGTGGTATCTTACTTATTAGTGGCTCTCACTCTTTCCATGGTTGTGGAGCAATGAGACTCTCCTAGCTTTACAACACATTTTGTATTTATTGGAGGTTTTTTATACGGTTAGTGAAAGTTTTTAATCTCCACAATATAATTAGTGGATGTTTCAAAAAACTGCAACAGTTATAATTGCTTGAAGCGTTTTGCATAGGTTTTAGAAAACTTCTGGTACTAATAAATTTGCAATGGTTTATTTGATGAGGTTTTTAACCTCCACTATTTAATAAAGTTTTTGCATCATTTATTGTGGAGATTTTGTGGAGATTGTAAACCTCCACAATATGAGGAAAATTTTGTAGTGTTTACCACAGATGTTTTAAACATCCATTATTTGAGAATGTTAGTTGTGGAGATTTTCAACCTCCATTACTCTAAATAACATATGAAGACGTGTTGGAAGCTAACTATTATATGTTTCTAAAGTATTTTTAAAACCTCAATTTAATTTCATAATTTTCACAACTTTAATCTCATTAATTTATAATTATTATTTAAATATACAATACTAAATACAAATGTTTTTTTTTTTTTTTAGTAAAGCCCATGTTACCACTTCCAAGAAACTTAATGAGCTTACAAAGAATATATAGAAAATAACCCACAAATTGTTTTTTTTTTTGTAAAGAAGATGGGAACATACAAAAATAGTATTCATAAGAAGAACAAAAAAAGGACTCCAAGCTAAATGTTTCTTTAATGTGAGTTCCTTGCAGCTACTTGAACAATGGAGCATGAAGTTTTTGGATTTGTTGCCACAAACCTTGTAGAAAAGGCATAGAATTTGTAGTAATCCTCATCTAATAAGCTCCCACATCCAATGGTATCAAAGTGCAAGGAATAGCTCAATGGGTCATAGCAGCATTGGAATGAACCTTGTCTAGTTGCACTTGAGGGTCTAAGTGTTCTGTACGCCTCTTGAGTTTTTTCATTAGTTTTGTCACAACACAACAACAGTTGCATGTTGATGAGGTTGTGTCAGCTAGAGATTTGGTTGAAGGTGTAGTGGTTGTGATTGTTGCAGATTCATGTTACATCACCCTAAGAAACTAATCATTTTTGGATGTGTGATTGCCCCTCTCAACGAGTGTCGTTCCTAGAAATCAAATCATTGACTTTTTGGTATTTCTAAGAATCTAGCGGAGGTTTATACCACTACACTAACACCGTGTTGTTAATTATAACGTAGCTGTGATAAGATAATCCAGAAGAGTATAATAAAGCTCATATAGCTCCGATATACATCAGAGGAGTATGATTTAAGCAGTAATAAGTATAAGATGCAATAGTAACTTGCAAGCATCATCAACTTTCCTTCCATGGCTTTGGGTTTTAGTACTCAAATTCATTCATGTACACATTTAATATCAAATAGAAAAGAAGGTCGAAGAAGAGCTAAATCCACAGCACTTAACCAGAACATGAGTATACTTAAACAAAGTAGCAATTAAATTTTTGAATTCAGAGTTACTTGTCAAATAATTGTATTTATAATGGGAAAACCGGTGAACCACAAAAATGCGGCAATGCCAACTGATCCAACATTGTTAATGGCTTAACATTTTGCATTAGAGATTGGCGCACTACAAGTTCCCGAAATCCGGTGCACTTCTTCTAAGTTCTGTAACAAATAACCATGGCACCCTCGCTGTATTGTGTTGTCATTGGTTCCAACATCAAAAGAATCTATACCTTTGCAAAGTTAAATTTGGCTGCACCACCAGTGTCAACAACACTACTACAAAAGGGACACCCTTTCTTCTACATCCACAAAGAATCAGTTGAATGCCAAATCTATCGCAGTATCTTAGTTCTAGACTTCTGGTGTATATCCAGCCAGACACAAAATTAATACCAAGCATAGTGGACATCAGCCACAAACAGTAATAGAGGGACAATAAAGAACAACACAAAGTAAGAAAGTCATTATGCCTTGACAACACCCTCATGAATGACAACCATTGAACCTTGGTAAACCGCAGTAGTACTAAGTAGCTTGATACAACTATGGATAGCAAAATTTCCAGACTCAACGCTCACCCTAATGAGCAGTAATGACACATCTAAAAATTGGCCTCATGCATGGGAAGAATAAAAGTTCCAAGTGCAAGAAAGTGACAACTTTACTATCATGATCATCTTTTTAAAAAATGTTGCCGAAACTCATGAGCCTTAACAATGAACATCAACCTATCCTTGAGATAGCTTCACATGTAATGGCAGATAGATTTATTAATTATAACATGCCTCTTGAAGAATACTCTACTTCTATCATGCCCACTTGTTACAGACATTGATTCTCAAAAGTAATAACAATATAATATTACGAAGACAAGAAACTTGGTTGTGTGAAACAAACAGCCTAATTTGCTATATCGTTACATAAGTATGGTATGAAAAACATGAATACAAGAAAATGTATATTTAGTAGAGATAAACTAAGTGAGAGCAGTGGCAAGTTGAAACTGACCCCTATATCCAAACACAGTGTATGTCTCCATTTATTACAATTACCACTATTTAACTATTTCCATTTTCATCCCTGTGAAGAACATCACAAATTCACCAATGAGACAATACAATTGATGCCCCTAAATCAAGCTAAGATAGAAGGATGAGGAAAAATGGTAAATAACCACTGTAGTCTACAGAAGACTGAGAAGAGCATCAAAATTAAAAATCTTATTAGCAATTTAGCATCACGGCATGTAGTCCCATATTTGATCAGACCATCATGGCTCAAGACACCCTCACAAACCACCTACGCATAAACTCCATAAGTTTCTAATATCCCAATACAGAGAGACCAGACCTAGGGCATCGCGAGAATGACAAGTGGATCCGGGAAATCCCGCTAACAGTGCAATACTCTAGGCCCCATAGCAAACCTAATTCAGACCTCTCAGGTTTTGAGGTGGGTGAGGTCATGCTCATCAGTCACCATAAACCACCTTTTTATGTCCTAATCCCAAACTAACTAAACTGTTTACAATAATCATAAATCATAACTAACTAAATTGTTTGCATTTTGTATAGTAATAAGAGTAAAAGTAATTACAAGTTAATCATCTTGGTCTGGCTTAGTTTGTTTGTCTTTGTTATTTTTGTTTCCATATATCAAACCCATTACCTGGAAATTGAAAAGAAAGTAAGCAATAAAGTGTAGATTAGAATAGAGGGATTGTAAAGTAGAAAAGAGTTTACCTGAGGATCAGGAATTGGTTTACGGGTTTCAACGTATCGATGAGGATCTGATTCCAAGGCCGCGAGAGCAG